TTAATTATGTAGACTAAATATTTTATAGAGAAAACTATAATATATATAATAATATAATTTTTTAAGCTTACATCATCCAGAATTGTTTTAACAGCTTCCTCGGTACGGCCAGACACAGTTACAAGTCTAGGTAAATTGTCTGGCTTCATGATCTTATCTATCGGATTCGATTTTAACAATACGTGACAGTTTGCACCACCAAATCCAAAAGAATTTATACCAATATAACCACCGTTCCATGGTGTAGGTTCAGTAACAATTTTTATTCTACCTTCCAGAATAGCAGAAAGATTGCTTCGCGGTGATTTGTAGTGCAGAGTTGCTGGAATCTTACCAGTTTCCATTGCTATCAGTACCTTCAACAGTTATAAGTATATGTACTATCTATTTTTCTGTTACAGCAGAGTTTTCCTTGACTCAACTTTTTGGAACTGAGTTATTCCTCTGAGTTTTGTCAACGACGTATACGTAAGAGAAGCTCTGCTGCACTTTTACAGTTATATTTTAAATATATTATTATACATATGATTGCTCATTTCAAATAATCTATTTTGTCAAAGATTTTAATTTTACAAAAAAGTTTTAAATTGACAATTGATAGGTAATTTTCTAGATTAACTGCTTCATATATTGACATATTTATACTCATTCGACGCGATCTTTTGAGAAACAAAAATAATCTGGCACAAAGACAATGCGTCGCTCTGTTTCGCAAAGCAAGTAAATTATTAATGAGCGTTGAAAATGCGGAGCTTGAAGAGCTTTTTAAAAATTCAAATGTAATTCAAATTTACTGTAGCAATATATGAGATTTACTGGCTTTGAACACTCAAGCTTTTTAAACGTCAGTCTGTTTTTATTCTATCATTCATTTAAAGAGCAATAAAAACGGACTAAAGCGCTAAGCACACAAACTCCGATAGCCAAATGATAGCAGTATACCATCAGTATGCACGCAGGTTTTATTGAAATAACATTTAGTAAAATAGATTATTTATTATAGCTAATCATGTATATATCAACATACTTTTGCTATTTGACATATACCACTGGCAGGTTCCGAATGTCCAAGATTTGATTTTATTGAGCCAACCAATAAAGGACTATTTCTGTTTTTACAGAAAACTTGATCAATAGCATTAATTTCTACTGGATCACCTACGTGAGTACCAGTTCCATGAGCCTCAATATATAATATTTCAGAAGGTGCAATTTTGCATTCCTCATAAACTTCTTCTAGCACAGTTTTTTGCATATCAAAAGATGGATATGTGATACCTTCTTTTTTGAAACCATCGCAATTAGATTTAATATTAACACACGTGGCATAAATTCTTCTTGCATCTTTTGCTTTTTGCAAAAACATCACAGCAATCGTATCACTGCGCATGTAACCATCGCTTCTTTCATCAAAAGGTCTGCAGTGACCGTCAGGAGATAATACTCCTAAAATTATTTAATTATTAATAGTTTATTTTACGGATATGTTATTTCTCATATATGCGTATTCTATGATTAGTGTTTCACATTATTGACATAATTACTAGCTGCCATTGAATCATACGCGACGAAACAAATAACCTCTCTTTTGGGGATCTCTTCCCTTACGAAAAAGAACTACTGCCGGCTGTGTGATTATTACATGCGGCAGTGTGATTAATATGGCGGCTCTGTAATGATCGAGGCGAATATTATTGTATCTGTAATAACTTTTAGCAGCGGAATACAAGCGGACATTACTCGCTCTTTAGATATTATTGGAAAAACTACTGTGTGTAATAACCACTGAG